AGCCCCTTTCCTTACAATCGACGAGTTCTCAGGCTGAGGATCCCGGCCGCTGCTCCGCGCCCTGGGCCGGCGCTGTGGAGTCGCGCGACCTCGATTCGTCTGAGACGCGGCGGGGGGGGCGCTCGCCGGCGAAGGGGCGCCAGCTCGGCGCCTGGCAGGGCGGCCGAGCCACGGCGCATTCACAGATGGCAGCGCACAAAGGCGGGTTGTGACTGCCGGCCTGCTGCGGGGGCTTTCCCGCATGGAAGCCGACAAAGCTGGCGCGCCATGTGCTCGTCATTTGCGGGCTCCTCTACTGAACCATTCTTGCGCTCTTCCCCGTGGTGCGATTGTGCCCCCGCCTGTTCGTGGGCATGATTGATGCGATCGTGGCTTGAGGTCGCTCGCATAGGCCCCCTTCGGCCCCGCGGAGGCGCCCGCTGTCGTGGCCAGGCGGGCCGCGGACCAAGCTCTCGGAGCGGTGCTTCGGAAGCGACGGCGTGCCCTGCGAGGCCGGCTTCGTCGACGAGCGGCGGCTGGATGCGGATCTCTGCAGGGTTGCAGGGAGGGTCGCTTTGCAGAGGTCGGCGGTCTCAGGATTGACGGCGCGACTTCGCGGGGCGCAGCTTCCGCGGTGGAAGTGGGCCCAGGACTCGGGTCTGAAACGCCCCGCTGGCCCCCGAGGGCTGCGACGACAACGGGGCGATGGCCGTCTTGACGGAGGCGCGGCAGCTGGCGCTGCGCGACTGCCTGGAGCCAGCGACGTCTAGCTCGAGGAGGCGCCGCGATCAGTGGGCGCTGAGAGGCGCGAAGGGCACGGGGGGGGTGTCGGGCGGCGTGAGGCGCGGCGGTTTCGCGGGCCTGGTCGTCGTGGGCCGCTGGGCTTGCGTCGCGAAGTTGATGTCGACGTCGCTCGGCCCCGGCAGCAGCCCGCCCTTCGAACTGTCTTGCCGCGCGAACCTGATGGGCGCAGGTATCGCGCCGCTGGCCCGATCGCCTGGCCCGGTCTCGCCCCGCGGAAGCCCGGGCCGCCGAAGGCGCGGACCGTGGATCGCTGCGGTGCTATAGGCAAGTGTGCTTTGCGGGAGGTTGTGCCACGGTGCAATGCTGATTGGGGCCCGCTGGCAGTTCTGTCGCCTGGCCATTGCACCGCGTTCGTGTTGCGGTAGTGGAAGCATTCGCGATGCCTTCAGATTGTCCGCCGCGCCATTTAGATTCTGAATGGGGCTCTCCAGGCGGGCCCGATCGACGATGCCACCTGGCCCGCGGATTGGCTGAGAGGGGGCGGCGCTCGCGAGGCAGTTTCGGCTGGCAGCGCGTTCGCGGGCGGCCGCGTTGAGAATAATCTCATGCGCATTAGCAAGTCCACGGTGCTCGCGCGAGATATGTCAGTGGCCCGCCAGATCCAGGCGGGCTCGGGCCTGCGAGGGGCCGGAGTCGAAGTGGCTTCTGCGCCTGCGGATCTCGGGGCTGGGCCAGGCCTCGATTGCGGAAGCCGTCTGGGATGGCATCTCGGAAGGTCGGCGCGCGCTTTGTCTTCGCGGGGGCTCTGCCGTGGGCTTTCTGCGCCGTGGGCTTTCTGTGCCCGGCAATGGCGTCGAGCGCCGGTCGGCTTGCAACTCGGGGCGCGGCGGGCAGGTGCCCGGCGGCCCTGCTTGCTCTGGAACCGAAGGAGAGAAAATCCAGCCTTTGCCGTGGACTCTTCAGTCGTCAGGTTTGTGGTTTCAGATTGCGGCTGCCAAGCCCGAGGCTGCGATCGATGGAATGCTGAAATGCTGACAGGGCGCGGCTGAGGGGATCGAGGTCATGGGCTTCCCTGGGATGGGGCCCCCCTGGGGTGAGCGCCCTGGTTGAGAGCTTTAGTTTTGCCGGATGAGTTTCGGCCCCGGGCCCGCGCGTCGGCGGATCCCGCGCGCGAAATTGATCGATGGCCGAGGCTACATTTTCATCCTCTGCCGCCAGCCTTCGGAGCGGGACTGGATTCGGGGGCGGCCGCGACATCGTCGATGTGCGGCGGCGCGTTCTGCCTCTGCGTCGGAAGTGCGCTCAGAGATGGGGGTTGTTTCGGGCTGCCCTCGCGGGGTCGATCTGGGCCCGCTCGAGGACATCGGCGATCGGGGGAGACCGTGGCCCTGGATTCCCCGGGCGCGGATGGGGGCATGGAGCTAAGTTCCGCCGCTTCTACGAGTGTCCAGCTAACGCAGAGCTCAGGAGATTTCGGAGGCCCGCTCGAGGCGAGGAGCCTGCGCGGCTGCCGAGTCACCGCCCTCTGGCGTGCAAGGCGTCGCGCCGGGCCCCCGGGGCCCGCGCCCCCCCGCCGCCGGAGGGGCAGCTCCATCATATTGCCGGCGAGTTACCGCGGGTGCCCCTCGCCCGGGGGGGTGGGCGCCGGCGGCGGTGAGTTTTTCCACGGGCAAGAGGCGCGGGAGAGCGGGGCGGTGTCGGCCCTAGGTCACAACGCCCGGTCCTTCCCAGAGTTTCGGAGACATGGGTCAAGTTTTTTCCAATCTGGAGGTGGCGGTGCTGGCTAGCAGCCCATCAGCCGCGGGGGTTTGCTTGCTTTCCTGGCTCTGCTTGCGAAGGTTCCCGAGGGGGGCGCTGTCCTGGGCTGCGCGGCGGATTCGGCCCGCGTGGCCCGCGCGCGTGGTCGTGTCCAGGCGGGGCCCCGGAACCCACGAGCATATCTTAATTTTTGGGCCTGGGTCAAAGATGCCTTGGGAGGTGGAGACATGTCTCATATTCGTACTCGAGTCACCTGATGTTGCAGAACGTTCTGAACCCAGGCGCGGCGCTGGCCAATGGAGTTGCTGACCAAGTGGCTGGGCACTTTGCCGCTTTAGGCGAGGTTCCGCGCGCTGCGCCTGCATCGGCCACGGTTGTTGATGTCCCCATTCGGAAGCTCCGTTGTGTTGCGGCGCCTTCCGAGCATAGTTGCCTCCAAATTCACGGTGCATTCGGTCAGTGCGCCATGTGCGGGCGCCGTGCCAGCGCCGGGGGGCTCGGGCCCTCTTGGGGGCGCTTTGTCGGTCCATGCCCCTCGGGGGCCGTTTGCGCGCATTCGTGCGAGGTGTTTTTCTGGCCCATGCTTTGTTGTTGCGCCGTCGGGATTTTCAAGCGCGAGCCAGTATCGCGAGTTTGCCTCCCCGCGCAGTCACCGCACGTGAAAGTCGGGCCAACAGAATATGTCGAGTACTCCACGCGGCTTGCTCCCAGGCGAGCGCGTCTGGGGCCGCGACAGGCACGAGAGGGAGGATGCGAAGGGCCGCGGGGGCCTGGGGTCCGAGCGCCACGGCCGCGGCGCGCCGCGCCGCCTTCGACGCTGAGATGGGTGCCGCAAAGCGCCGCCTCGCCTCCGCCCCCCCCCGCCCTGCCTCGTCGCGCTGCCGCTGTCCCTCCCCGGGCGGTGCAGGCGGCCGGGCGGCCGGGCGTGCGCCACCCCGGGGCGGGCACTTGTCGTCGGTGTCCTTCCCTCCCTCCTCCCTCCTCTCGGTGTCTGTCTCTCCCCCCTCCCTTGTCCCTGCTCCCTCCCTCCTCCGTCCCCTCCCCTCTCTCCTCCTTCCTCCGTCCTTCCCTCCGCCCTCTTTTTTCTTTCCCTCCCTTCCCGCCCGTTTCTTCTCCCTCCTCCCTCCCTCCCCCTCCTCCCTCCTGCTTCCCTCCCTCCTCCCTCCTCCCTCTTTCCTTCCGCCCTCTTTTTTCCTTCCCTCCCTCCTCCCTCCTCCCGCTTTCTTTTTCTCCATCCTCCTCCCTCCTCCCTCCTCCCTCCTCCCTTCCTCCTCCTTCCCTCCTCCCTCCTCCCTCGTTCCCTCCGCCTTTCCATGTTTTTCCCTCCCTCCTCGCTCCTCCCGCTCTCAGTCTTCCGACGTTGCGATCCCTTGAGCGCCTGTGCTTCGGCACCCACAGGCCCGTTGCGGGTTGCGGGGCCACCGCGATCTGTCACGGCATGAACGGTCTGCCCCTGGGCCAGGGCCCACGGTTCCGGGGACGCCGCGCCGCAGACGAGTGGGAGGGCAGAGCCTTTGGCTGGTCCCAGAGACGTTGCCTTCCTTCGGGGGGGGGAGAGCAAGGAGGGACACGGGGGGAAAAAAGGGGTGGAGGAGGGAGGAGGGGAACCAGAGGGAGGAGGGTGAGCAGGATGAGGGGAGGGGGGGAGGGAGGGGGAGGAGGGTTTTCGCTGTTTGGGTCATGCTCCCTCCTTCTCCTCCTTTCTTCTCCTCTTCCCGGTCCTCTTCCTCCTCCTTGTCTTCAACCTTCTTTCACCTGTTTCCCTCGTCCTCCTCCTCTTCTTTTTTTGTTTCTCCTCCTCCTCCTCCTCCTTATCCTCCTCGTTTGTCTTCTTCTCTCCGTTCTCCACCTTCGAATCATCCCTCCACACTCACCCCCCGCCCTTCCTCCTTCTCCATCCTCTTGATCAAATTCTGATGCGGCGGGCAGCTGCGTGCCAACGCTGGTCATCGAGTCTCCTGCCCTTTACCCTGCATAGCCAGCCGAATATAGAACCCACCGCTTGATGTGCCGCTCATCATCCCACATGCGGAGGGGAGGAGCCAGTTCCCCGACGCCATGATTCTGTCATAAGCGTGGACCCCAGGAGGTCTGGACACCTTCCCAGGAACCACCTTGGCAACGCGATTAATTGTATGATGGTTTCGGGTCCCGGTGAGGGCCCCCAGAAGCTCAAGATTGTGAAACACCTTGCGGGTCCAAAGGTCCGACGCGGCGAGAAGATTGCAGCATCGGCGCAATTACGGCCAGAGTCCCGGAGCCCATCTTTCTGCACAGTTTCTCAAGCGGAATCGATATGTGAGGGTTCCCGGGCCCAGAACCAGGCGGAAACGCCTGGCGCACAAAAGTGAGACACCAAGATTTCACGGTCGTGATCCTTTCGCGACGCGAAGTGTCTGGGGACATGGGGGGCCGCTTCTGGGGGAGGAACGCCCCAAAGAGGGGCCCAAGATCGGGAATACGAGCTGACATTTCGAGCCCCTCGTCCAAGATGGCCCCGATATCCCCCCTGGCCGCAGGCGCCTTCGCTGCTGGCCAGGGTTTTCGGCTGCCTGCCCTGCTGCAGCGGGCTGCTGCCAAGGACGGGTGCCGTCGTGCTGCGCCGCTCTCGTCGGCTGTTCGCTCGTCACTCCTCCCCCTCGTCATCCTCACCTCCTCGCCCCCTCTTTGCCTCCTCTGCTCCTCCCTCCTCGCCTCCTCCCCACCACCTCGTCCCTCCTCGCCTCCTCCTCGCCTTCTCACCTCCTCCTCCTCCTCCCTCTTCGCCTCCTTTTCCTCCTCCCCCCTCGTCCTCCTCTTCCTCCTCCTCCTCCTCCTCCCCCTCGTCCTCCTCCTCTTCCTTATTCTCGTCCTTCTCCCTTCTCCACTTTCTTCTCTTCTTTGTCCTCCTCCTCCTCCTCCTCGTCCTTCTCTTCCTCCTCCTCCTCCTCCCCCTCCTCAGGTCCTCTTCCTCTGGCCCACCTCCTCATCCTCCTCTCCCTCCTCATTCCTCCTCGCGGGCACAGGGCAGCACAGGGCAGCGACTGCCGCGAGAGAGCGCGCGACCAAGGGCGGTGCAGGGGAATCCCGCTCCGCCCCCGATCCTGCCTGGCACCCGCGTCAGCGGCGGCAGCGGCCCGCACGCTGCTGCGATTCGGCGCCGCGGCTGGGCTGCCTGGTCGTCACTGCAGCAACGGCGCCGCAGCCACTGGAGGAGGGAGCGGCCGATCAGCATCTGCCCCGCCTGGGGGCGATGCTGCAGCAGCCTGGACTTGCATGGGCTGCGAGACTAGGAACAACTCCTCGCGGACCACGTGTCGGAGCTGCGGGGAAGAGAAGCTGCCGCCGTGGAAGGAGGTTCGGCAGCCAAGCAGGAGCAGGGGAGGTGCTAGACGCGGGGATGCTTAGCAGTCCGAGGCGCAGACGGAGAAGGGTTTGTTGGGCATGCTCCCCATGCTCGCGAAGCTCTCGAAGTGGCCTTCCGCCCAGGTCCAGTTGCACTTCTCCCACTGCAGCAGGTTTGAAACAACATCGTGGGCATCTGCGCCAAACTCTTCTCGCAGATGATTGACGCTTTCGCGCCATCCGTGGGCTTCCAGACACAGAACAGCGACGTTCACAGCAGGCAGAGAAGGAGTATGCGCCATCAATTGCCAAGCCATCATGGCCGGCAAGAACCCAGACTTCGGGCATGACAATCCGAAGGCCTTTGACAACAAGGAAAAGAAGACGCTCGCGGCGGCGAAGGATGCCGAGCTCGCGGCAAGGATAAAGCTGATGGCGGCAGAGCAGAAGCAACGAAGGTCAAGGAGGATGTACATCACGCTCAGCTGTTCCCCGGGCAAATTAAATAGATGCAGGGTTTCTATGCGTTCTAAGCGGAGTCGCTCTCAGCGTCATCGGGTACTGCGGCGAGACAAGACGACAGCTCAGATGAGGACGTCGTCAGCAGCATCGATGGCGACGATGAGTTCTACGAGGGCCCCTACAGCACCGACCTGCTGCAAGACGCCGAGCCGGGCGAACTGATCAAAAGCGAGCACACCGGCGCAGCGCCAGCGTCTTCCACGTCGGAGCCAGTCGCGGCCAAGCGGCATTGAAGCATGGCGCAGCTGGAGACGACGGTGAACGGCCTCGCGGGACATATGAGCAAGCTCGCAGCGACGCTTATACAGCAGCGGCAGCAATGCGGGGCGAACGGCGCGCCACCAGAAGGACTACCCGCCGCAGGCGGGGCCGAGCCCAAGGCGAGCGCCGACGTCGGAGGAGACCGCGCGTGCCTGGGCAGAGGCACCGGGCCAGAAGGCGGAGCAGAAGGCTGGGCAGCAGGCGCGCAGGCAGGTGGGCGCGGCCAAGCAGAGGCAGCGCAACTTCGGCCAGCAGCAGCAGCAGCGGCGCCCCGAGGCAGACAGCGCAGTTGCCAAGCAGCAGCGGGGCCTGGACGGCTCGGTCGCGCTCGCCAACGTCGAGGAGCCATCGGCAGCCTTGGGCACTGCAGTGCCAGCAGCAGAAAGCACGCCTGTTGATGGCAACAGCGTGCCAGACTGAAGGTCGCGGGGCCTCACCAATATTCAGATAAGCCTCATCAGCGGTGAGGACGGCGGTGCCCCAGTACATATTCAAGCACTCCCACGACATGGGAGGACTTCGAAGGTGGCCCCACTGTCGGATCACAGCAATGCGCTCTGCGCGTTGCGCGCCACTTGGCCCTTGAAATTTGATCGGCTCGTTGTTAGTATCGAATAGTCTGTTCTTCAGGCTTACGCCACATCCGCCGACCCCTCTATAAACTACTGCGCCTCCAGGACTGCATTCCACGAGCCACCTCGCGGGCAGAATTCCGAAGCCGTGGCGGGGAAAGTAGCAAGAATGCGTCAAGTTCAGGGTCATGTGTGGCACGCTCTGGGATGTCCGTTGGGATCTCGTGGCGAGGATTTTCGCGGGCCTCTTCGAGGCACTTTGGAAGGGTCTTGGGGGCCGTTCTGGGGCTTCTTTTGGGCCTCTTGGGAGCTCCTTGGGGCCTCTTGCGTGCCTCATGGGGGCCTCTTGGGGCCGCTTGGGGGCTTCTAGGGTCCTCCGGAGAGCTTCGTTGGGCGGAGCGCTGGAATTCGCGGTTCGTGGTCCCTCTCTTGGGCTCTTCTTGGGGCCGTCTTGGAGCTCTTTTGGGCCGTCTAGGGCGCCTCGAGGGCCACGTTGGAGATCTTTTGGGTTGTCTTTGCGGCCTCTTGGGAGCCTCGTGGGCCGTTTCGGGGTGGTCCTGGGGGCCTCGTGGGGGCCTCGTGGACGGCTTTCAACGCCGTGAAGGCTAACAAGTTGGATATGCTGAAAATGCGCGTTTCCCACCGGAATTTCTAGATGTTGGTTTCTTGGGGGCTTCTTGTGAGGCCTCTAGGAGGCTTCGTGGGGTGTCTTGGCGGCCTCTTGGGCCGTTTTGAGCTCATCTTGGGCGTCTTGGAGCGATCGTTCGGCGGCTTTGGGTTCTCGTGGACCGTCTTGGCGGCTTCTTGGGATGCGTCAAGTGCTGTCGTGCAGCTCAAGAACGAGCCCAGGGAGCCCAGACCGCCCCGGGTGAGTTCGGTCCGGGGCCACCCCGGGCCGGGGGGGGTCAAAACTCCGGTTTGGAGTCCCCCATATTTTGCAAAGGAGCCGCCCTCTACCTTTGAAGCTTCTGCAACATTTTAAGACGAACGTGCGCGGCGTTGAGGCGAGAGCCACATTTTGAAAACTGCAAGCTGCCAGCCCTCCAATCGTGAAACGGCTGCATGTTTCAAGCGTCAGGGTGATAAAGTGCGAGGAAGTCTCTGGCGGAACGCTCGGGTGCGCAACAGGGACAAGTTGTTTACAAGGGAAGATCATGGATGAGGTGGAAGAGAATGGGAGGAGGAGGAGGAGGAGGGAGAGAAGGAGGAGGAGGAAGAACAATAATCATAATATGCAGAAGAAGGATAAGAAGACGAATAATAATACGACAATCAATACGAATAATAGTAAGACGAATGCTGTGACGAATGATACTGATAAGACGAAGGTTAAGAAACATAATCAACAGAAAGATAGTACGAATACTACTACGACTAATACTAATCATAACACTCATAAGAATAATACGGATAAGGTAATAAGGAGAGGAGGAGGAGTAGATGGAGGAGGAGGAGGAGGAGGAGGAGGAGGAGGGGAGGAGGAGCAGGAGGACGGGAGGAAAGAGGAGAGGAGAGGAGGAGTGGGGAGTGGGGACACGCGAGGAAGACGGTCCTGAATCGTGCCAGAGTGTCATTCCTGGGATTTCAACACCGCGATTCAATGTGACCGGTTGCGTGCTGACAGACCCACATCGTGCCAACATACAATTGCTTGGACGCGAGCCATAAGAAGCCGTGGAACTGCTGTAAACCATTAAGACGAATGCGCGGCGTTATGGCGAGAACCACATTTTAAAAAGGAGCCGCCCTGCTTTCTTGTGACGTTGCTGCGAACTTTTACTCCGAATGCGCGTGGCGCTAATGCCATAGCCAAATGTTGACAAACGAGCCGCCCTCCATCCTTGAAGCTGTTGCGTTGCAAATTGAGACGAACGTGCGCAGCGCAAGGGCGAGGGCCACATGGTGAAAACCACCCGCCCTCCATCCGTGAAGCTGCTGCAGGTATCCAGCTTAGTGATCAGAACTGGCGCGGGGGTCTCTGGCGAAACGCCCGGCCCGCCCTACCGGCACGTCCCGGTGTGCGACGGGGAGGAGCTGTTCATAAGGAGACAGGACTGGTGGAGGAGGAGGGAGAGAAGGAAGAACATGGGAGGAGGAGGAGGAGGAGGAGGAGGAGGAGGAGGAGGAGGAGGAGGAGGAGGAGGAGGAGGAGTGAAGAGGTGAGGAGGGGAGGAGGAGGAGGAGGAGGAGGAGGAGGAGGAGGAGGAGGAGGAGGAGGAGGAGGAGGAGGAGGAGGAGGAGGAGGAGGAGAGGAGGAGGGAGGAGGAGAGGGAGGAGGAGGAGGAGGAGGAACAAAGGGAAACAAGAAGGAGCATGATGAGGAGGCGGAGGAGGGGGGGGGAGGAGGCGGAGGAGGCGGAAGCGGCGGAAGCGGAGGAGAGGCAGCGGAGGAGGAGGAGGGTGAGGCAAAGCGGGCCCGCGCCCAGCCAGCTGCACAATCCCCCCTGGGGCCCGCCGCCGTCCCGCCCAGAAGGAGGCGCCCCCTGAGGCCGCGCGGCGGGTCGAGGAGGGACCGCTTCGGCTCCGAGGAGCGGGGCGCGAAGGGGGTGCGGCAGGTGTGGGGAAGTACGTCCCGCTTCGACTCAGGCGATCGCAAACATGGATCAAGGAGGCGTGGATTAGCGACTTGTCCCGTTTCCATGGGGAATCGCGGATTTCCGCCGTCGAGCGAGGCGGCACCAGCCGCATTATCGGGGAAGTCAACTCCCCGATCCATGGATTTGGCGACCGCGCGCCAAATCCATGGATCGCTAATCCGTGTTTGCGCGCCCCCATTTGAATGTGGGGAGTGCGTTTTCTGATTGCCATGTGCGTTCTTCGGGCCCTTCGGGAGGCTGCTCGTCACCACGGTTGGATCCGCCTCGACTTCCTGGCCACAAGGCAGGCCCTGGAGATGTTCAGAGACCGATGTTTGGCCCCCGTCCCCGACAACTCGCGCAGTGGAAAAGCGCGGTGGCAGGTTTCTGGTCGGTTTCGGCTTGTGGGGGCCCTCGCCGGGCCTTTGGGGCCGGATGATTCGGGATGAAAAGCCCGCCCCGGGGAAGCGGTCTGAAGCTCCAGGGGTCCACGCTGTGAACAAGATGGCGGCGTCAGAGATTCCGGGGCACGAAGGGTGTGTGGCACGGATAATTAGGAACCTTGGTTCCAGGGACCAGTTCGTTCCTTCCCCACCCCCACACGCCTCCTCCTCCATCCTTCCCCTCTTCCCCTCCCAGACTCTCCAGGGGGTGTGGCACGTATGAGCCAGGGCTCCCCCCCCAAAGGGAATTGGCCTCCCCTCCCCCCCGCCGATGCCCCCCCCTTCAGTGGGTGTGGTTTGCTGTTCAGGGTGTGGTGTTGTGCTGCAGTGCCCCCTCCTTGTGGGTGGGGTTGTGGTGCTGTGGTGCCGTTGGGAGCGGGAGGGCTTCAACACCCCAGCTCATGGGGATTCGGCCTCCAGGTGAGGTCCAGAGATCGTCGTCGGCCTCGTCGTGGTCGTCGCCCCTTCCATCTGGGTGGCACCCCTCCTATCTGTGGGGATGCTTGCGAACCGTCGAGCTGGGATCGCCTGTAAAGTATTTGGCCCCAAGCACTGGTTCGGCTCCGAGGATTGGACGTCGACGCATGCCCTCGAATACCTGCAATCAGTAGAAGCATGTCTGGGGCCGTCGCTGGAGACTGCTCCCCTGGCGCGGGCGGCGGCGCCAGGCAGAGGCGCCAGCAGGTGGGGCCCAGCGCCGTCACGAGAAATCCGCGCATGCCTCCGCAGGTGAAGGGTGGTGCCTTCTATTTCTTTCTTCGGCCATCGGTTGATCGAGCAGGAGGAGGAGGAGGAGCAGGAGGAGGAGCAGGAGGAGGAGGAGGAGGAGGAGGAGGAGGAGGAGGAGGAGGAGGGGCAGGATGAGCAGGAGGACGAGGAGCAGGATGAGGAGGAGGGAGAGAGGAGCAGAGGAGGAGGGGGAGGAGCGGGTTCCTGGGCCAGGCCTCATGCCTTTCTGTCGAGCTGCTCGCTGCAGCCTGACAACTTCACTTTCGGGTCGTCGGTGCAAGCCTGGAGGCGTCGGCGCGCTGCCCATGGCGGCCAGTTGATCCCGACAGGACATTGCGGATTGAATAAGAAAGTGGCACGCCTCCCGAGTGCCCTGCGCCCCGACCCTCTGGACTCTAGACCTGGCCTCCCAGGCATCCTCCTGGACTCTTGCCCATGCCCCAGCTCCCAGGTCCTCGACGAGGGTACCCTAGTATTCCTCGGGTCTGCTGGATGTTCTTGTGTATCCTGGGGAGGGTACCCCAGGATGTTCTGCGTGGTTTGGCCAGCGGAGGGTCTCATGTGTTCTTGAAGGATGCGTTTCTGTCCTGGGTCCGGCTGTGAGGGCACCCGGAAACTACAACGCGGCGATTCGCCGCCCGTCGTGTTTTTTGCACGACGCGCGAGGGGCCTGAGCCGCGGCACCCGAGCAGAGCCCAGCTCGATCCGATCGTGCTGGTCCGACCTCGACTGCGGCCGGTCGGATTCGATTCGGTTCTGAGTTTCGGGCTGTCCGATGCGGCCAGGTGCTTGCACGGGGCTCTTGTGCATCTTGGCGTCGCCGATCGTCAGAGGAGGAAAAGCTACCGATACCGCTCGCCCGTTTTGCCCTTTTTCGGCCTCCTCGAAGGCCCTCATCGCCACCGCTGGATTCGTCTCGGTATTTTGGTCAGAAAGTACCCCGGGAGAGGTCTGGGCGGAAGCAGCGGTACCGGTGCCTTTTAGTTCCCCCAGACTGGATTCCATTCCGACTGTGCCGATGTGGCCCGATGCGATGCGCGGTCCGGTCCTTACGATTTCGATGTGGTTGTTCTTGCCGCAGATTTTCATTCCGATTCCAAAGGGGCTTCTCCAGTGCGCAACGTTATTCGCGCTTGGTGGTTCGGCTCCGATTCCTCGTCATCCTCCTCTTCCCCCCTGGGGGGGAGGCGGCGCGAGAGCGCGAAGTGATTCGCGCTTCGCGCGGCGCGAAGCGCGAAGTAATGCGCCCTTGGATTCTGATCCGATTTCCCCGTTCTCGGTATCGTTTAGCCGATTCCCGCATCCTTGCACCCCAGTGGAGGACACACCTCGAAACCCGAAGGGAACGGCCAATATCCCCATCTAGGGGGGCAATCGGCCATTCGGGCCCTGGCCACGTTCATGGGGAGAAAGGGTCGGTTCAACGATGCCCACACTCGATGTTGATTGCCCCTGGCCCCGAGGAGTCGCTGGCCTCGCGCCACACCGACCGCAGGAGCTCGGCGACGGCCTCGACGCCCTGACGCCCCTCGGGCCACCCCCCCCACACTTCCCCGGCGCCGTGCGGCTGAGGCAGGGCCGGGCGCTTATCGAGAGCCCGGCGAGCCGTCGCCATGGTCGGGGGCGGCAAGGAGGGGGTTGATGACTGGGGGGGGGGGGTTAATCATGGCGGGGGCCATGATATCGCCCCAGATTTCGTGGCGCCTCTTCTTAGTTATTTCAATGCGTCCCTGGCCCCGCCCCAGGGCCGCGCACATGCCGCTGGCCATGATTTGCGACCCCCCCCTCTTGGGCGCCCCCCCTTGCACCCCCCCGACTGAGGGAAACGATTCCTCAGGTTTTCGCCGCTTTCGGGCTCAGGGTCCAGGACACGTTTCCCTCAGGATTCGTTTCCCCAATGCGAAGAGCAGCTGCCGCGAAAGTCGGCCTTTTCTCTCTAGGTCTGGGGTCGGAGGATCGTGCCGCATCGCTGACCGTTTCGGCGCACCCCTCACACGCTCTGCTGCCCCATAGGGTGCTCCGTCGAAGGCCCCAGTGGCAGGGTCCGCATGCAGTTCCACCTCCGTTTCGGCGCACCCCTCACACCTTTCGTTGCCCCACAGGGTGCTCCGTCGAAGGCCCCAGTGGCAGGGTCCGCATGCTGTTCCACCTCCAGTTCGGCCGCGCACTTTTCGTGGCCCCATGGGGTGCTCCGCCGAAGGCCCCAGTGGCAGGGTCCGCATTCAGTTCCACCTGCATATCGGCGCACCTCGCGCACTTTTCGTGTCCCCATAGGGAGCTCCATCGAAGGCCCTAGTAGTGGCAGCGCCCGCACGCGGTTCCATCCTGCATTCGGGCGCACCCGTCACACGTTCCGTGGCCTCACATGGGGCTCCACTGGCGGCTTAGGTGGCAGCGTCCGCATGGCGTACCCGTGTCAATTTTGGCACACCCGTCACACGCGTCGTGACCTGAGAGAGGTTCACCGAGGTCGATGCTCACAGCTGCGTTATTCACAACTTCAGATAGTCGGGTCCCTCGCCAGGATCGTTTTTTTGTTTGAGGCCGTATCGGGGCCCTCTCGGGCCATTCTGCAGCCATGTGATCAAGGTCTTAGGTAGGGCCCAGGAGGGCCCAGAGACGGCACCAAGAGGACTCCCCAGCGCTTGCACCCAAGATGAGCTTCTGGGTGCCATCTCACGGGGCACTGGGATCCATGTGCTCGGGGTTTCGGGGCGCTCAGGGCCTCCCAGGACCGACGGGGTTCGGCGGCTGCGTGGGTTCCAGGAGTTCGGGTGGCGCCAAGGTGGCACGGGTGTGGCATGAAACGTTCCTTGGGCGTTACGTTTGAGACGTCCGCCGGGGCGTTTCGCTCGGGACATACTCATCGGTTGTTTGAGTTTGTTGGTGTTGCCAGATGGCTTTCTTTGCTATCAAGCCAGCGTGGCGCGCATTTGGCGTCATTGCCCCTCATCGGTGGCTCTAGTTGTTTGACCGTATCTGGTGATGTCGTATTGTCTGCAGGTCTTTGTCGCAGCGAGTCCGTCCTGATGCGTTCTTTTCTGCGCAATGCCTTTCGGCACAACCACTTCGCCCTGGCCTGAGGTCTAGGGCTTGGGGTCCCGCTCGGGCGTTCCAGTGGCCCCAGGGACTGGGGGCTCTGGTGCGCTCACGGCCTCCCAGGGCTTAGGGGTTCAGTCTAGGGGTCGCGGGCTCCAGGGGTTTCAAGTGTTCCAGAGGCTCCAGGTGTTCCAGAGGCTCCAGGGGCTTTGGGGCGCTCAGGGTCAACCAGGGCTTTGGGGTTCAGTCTATGGGTGGGGGGCTCCGTGGGTTCAAAGGGTTCCAAGGGCTCCAGGGGCTTGGCGCTCTGGCGCGCTCAGGGCCTCCCTGGGCTTAGGAATGCAGTCTAGGGGTCATGGGTTCCAGGGGTTCCACACGTTCCAGAGGCTATGATCGTTCCAGGTGCCTCAGCCGCTGGGGGGTTCGGGGCGCGCTCCATGGATTCCGAGTTCCGGTGGCTCTAAGGGTTCACGGGTGTGGCAGGAAACGCACCATGGGCGTTTCGTTTGAGACTTCCGCCTGGGCAGTTCGTTTGACGCACTCATCGGTGGTCCCAGGTCGTTGCTATCATATGCCTTTTCTGTGTTATCAAGCTAGCGCGGTGCGGGGTTGTCGTCGTTCACATGAGATCACCGTTTCTCATCGATGGTCTCAGCTCTTTGATATTATTACTAGATGACGCATTACGTTCTGCAGGTATTTGTCACAGCCAGTCCGTTATGATGCGTCACTTTCTGCACATTTCGTTCCTATGCCTCTCGGCACAACCAGCCCGCTCTTGTCATGGGTCTAGGCGTTGGGGTCTCGCCAGGGTGTTCCCTCGGGGCTTCGGTGCGCTCAGGGCCTCTCAGGGCCTAGGGGTTCAGTTTAGGGGTCGCGGTCTCCGGGGTTCCAAGGGTTCCAGAGGCTTCGCGTGTTCCGAGGCTTCCAGAGGCTCCACGTGTTCCAGGGGCTCCAGGGGCTCCGGGGCGCTCAGGCCCTCCCAGGGCCTGGGGGTTCAGTCTGAAGGTCGAGGGCTCCAGCAGTTTCAAGGGTTCCAGAAGCTCCGCGTGTTCCAAGGGCTCCAGGGGCTCGGGGCTCTGGCGCGCGCAGGGCTTCCCAGGGCCTAAGGGTTCAGGGCTCCAAGTCTTCCAGGGTCTCCAGAGGCTCGGGGCTTCGGGGCGCTCAGGGCTCCCAGGACCGAGGGGTTCGGGGGCCGCGTAGGCTCCAGGAGAACAACGCATGGTCACTTCGAAATCTGATCGGCTACCGCGAAGCATTCACATCACTTCCCAATCAAACATGGGACCTCCCCATTGTGGACAATGCACAACCCGCGTGGTGAATTTGAGTGGAGAAAGGGTGGCGATTCAACCTTATCATCCGGCTTTTCCTTGTCCTTGTCGTCCTCTTCTTGGTCCTCTTCCTCCTCCTTCTCCTCCTCATTCTCCTCGTCACATGTTGCAAAAAAGCGTGGGGGATAAACTCGCCGGCCGAAAACAAAGCGTTGCAGCGTTTGTTTTGCGATTCTCCGCTATAGCTACGTGCGAAGGTACGCTGACAATGTGGATCGCAAAGGGACGCTTCATTGCTGCATGTTGCAACGTCACTCAGCGAGGCAACATTGCTTCGCATAACCACAGCAGCAGATGGGGAACGTGAGCACGCCAGCGGACCGATGCACCGAGAAACCAAATGCTTCACGTAAGATTTTGCCTACATCCACATCCCTCTCTCTTTGCGCCGTCTCTCGCCCTGCCCATTACTCCATCGTTTCTCCATCCACCCTGCTCCATCCTCCTCCCCCACATATCATCGTCCCATCCATCCACCAACATGGTCACTGCGTCCTCAACGGGGCGCGAATTCGCAGGAGCAGCGAACCCTGCTACTGGGTCGCGTATGAGCCCGTCGCGTGGGAAGATTGAGGCGTCATCGCGGGATGGGAACGCAGTCAGTCCCTACGAACAGCTCGTGCTCCTCCTGTCCAGCATGTGAGCGCTGGGCCATGGTCGCGCCATGCGCCAGAATGTAGACTTTGCAGAGAGCCTCTGTGTACCTGAAAAGGTCGCAGATGTGACTGTGTGACTCCATGTGCGCCGCTTAAGCATGGGCGTGGGCAGCGGCGGCATCCTCGAAATTCATCTCGGCAAGCTCGGCAAGCGCGTAGTAGCTGTCGAAGGCGAACTCCATCGTGCGCCATTTGCTGCGCAAGGTGATTGCATTGAGCCGCGCGGCATCGCCGTCGGCCTCGGTGTCTGCGGCGACGCGGGCAGTCTCGGCGTCGCCGTTGAGGATGGCGCCTAATACGTCCACGGCGTCGGTCGCCACGTCTGCCGCTGCCGCGTCTGCGCTCTCAGCGCCAGCGGCCGCGGCGGCTGATTGTTCGACCGCCGCGGCCAAGCCCGCGGCCAGCTCGACGAGCGGTGCCGCGCACCACGGGGCCGCGGGCGCCACGCGGCGCGGCCTCGCTGAGCCAGAGCTGCAGCGGTGAAGCACGAGACTCGAGACAATTCCTCATCATACTCATGCTCCTCCATCCTTCCACATAATTTTCTCCATCTCCCCCCTTTTCTCTGCCTCTTCGAGCCGGCGCGCGCCCTCGGCGAAGCGACCCCCGTCGAATCCGCATCCGACCTAAGTTCCTTTGCCTCGCCCACCTCATCGGCGCGCGTTTCCCTCTCCGCCGCCGGCCTGTTCCCTTCAAGGCTGGGGGTTCTGGGGCGCCCGGGGCCCCCAGGGCTTATGGTTCAGATCGGGGGCTCCAACGGTTTGGGGCTCCAGGGGCTCAACGGGTTCAGTCGTCTGAGGGTCGGGGGCTCCATGGGGAGGCCCCGTGTTCCATGAGCTCCAGGGGGCGAAGGGTTTGGGGTTTCATTGGGTTCCAGAGGTTCCCGGGGCCCTGCGCGCGTGTTCCAGGGGCCTCAGGGGTTGAGGGTTCTGGCGGATCAGGGCATCCTAAGGCCTAGGGGTTCAGTGTAAGGGTCGTGGGCTCCAGGGTTCCCAGAGGTTCCAAGGGCTCCAGTGGCTCGGGGTTTATGGGCGCCCAGGGCCTCCCAAGACCGATGGGCTCGGGGTCTCCATGGGTTCCAGGACTACTGATGGTTCCAAAGGGCCACGGGCGTGGCATGGCGCGCCGTGGGCGTTTCGCTTGCGATTTCCGCTCGGGCATCTCACTTTTCATCGGTGGCCCCAGTTCGTTGCTATCATATGTTTTTTCGTCATCGAGCAAGCGCGCGTCCGTCGTCGGCGGTCTCACTTCTGTGATATTATCAGATGGTACATTCGTTTATGCAGTTCTTACAGCCATGCCGTTATGATGCGCTCTGTTCTGCGCATTCCGCTCAGATGTTTTTCGGCGCAACCACTCCGGTCCCGCCTAGCGTTGGGGGTTGAGGTGTTCCCATGGCTCCTGAGACTCGGGGCTCTGGCGCGCCCAGGGCCTCCCAGGGCCTACGGGGTTCAGTTTAGGGGTCGCGGGCTCTGCGGTTCCAAGGGTTCCAGA